GCCGACGCTTCCGATATCTCTGATTTCTGGTTCATGTCGACGTAAGGATTTGAGCTCTTGTGTTGCTTTTCACCTCCGTCGTGCACGAACGGTTGTTGATTAAATGTGAAAACTCTGACTTTAGATACCGCGACCACGCCCTTCAAATTGCCGTCTCAACCAACGGAAACGGTCCAAAATTGGCGAGCCGTCTCCGCCGCAAAATTGCTGCCGCGTTGCCCTCGGAGGCTGGTTTGGCCATTCAGCGCTTGAGCGTTCTTCGTCAACGTATCCGTGCAGTCGACACAGCGAGATCCAGTGAGCGCCGCATGCGTTTCATCAACAACATCTCAGAAGGCTGGCCTTTGGAGAAGATTGCCGAACTCACCGATGAGGAAATCGAACGGTTGGTGCGTCAATACTTGGACGGCCACGACTATGTTGAACCGCACAAGGTGCGATCCGGTAGCATTCGTATCATCGGCGGTGGAAACGGTGACCCGGATCTTCTTACTCGTGCTGCGTACAATGCGCTTGCGGGAGCGGATGTGGTTATTGCGGATGCGGACGTTTCGAGGGACATTTTGGCGGTTGTGACGGGTGATTTGATCATTCTGAAAGCGGGGTACCAAACGGTAGATCTGGAGGCAGCAGCATTGTCTGCATTGGCTGGAGGTAAAGATGTCGTTCGTCTCGTGTCCGGCGATGCGTCAGCATTCGAGAGCGAGGTGAACGATGTCGCCTTTTTCCTCACTCATGGCTTCGAGGCTCGGTCGTTGCCTGGAGTTTCGTCCTCATCATCGTCGGCGTTTCCACTTGTGGCCGGCATTTCTTTGATGAAGAAGGGGGTTGCCGATCAGGTTCTGTACGTTATGGTTGACCGTTGCGCGCCCAACGTTCCGTGTTTCTCATCCACCAGGACTCTGGTTCTGAATGTTACCATCAACTTGGTTGGAGAAATCATGGCTGACTTGTGCGGAAAGGGCTACCCGGCGGACCTTCCAGTGGCAGTGGTTGCGCTGGAGGGTGCGAAGAAGCACGCAGTCAAAGCCTGCATCTCGACGGTGGCAAGTGTTCTCAAGAAGGAGCACCTTTCAGGGTCTGCCACTGTCGTTGTCGGCCGCGTGGTTGACACCTCTGCGAAACATGACGATAGCTGGGCGCACGCTAACCACTCTATCCACGTCCACCACCCTGCCCCCGTCAAACCCGATGTGCCCAAACGCGATGTGCCCAAACGCGAGACCTTGGTTGTCAAGGAGACGCCAAAGCACGTACCTGTAGAGCCTAGGCATGTCGTCCCTGTCAAACGGTTGGGCGTCAGCAAATGCGTTGATGGTCAAACCGCTGTGTCTCACGTCGCATATGGTTTGAGCGACCTTACGTTCGTGTACCCGGTTGGCACCACCGAGCACGTCGGCCACCACGTTGAAAAGTGGGCCGGAGACTCTGTTACCAACGCTCGCAACCAACTCCACAAGGTCGTCAAAATGAGCACTCGTACTGGCGCCGCCGGTGTCGTCCACGGGGCGCTTGCTGCCGGTGCAGCTGCTACCGCATTGATTTCCTCGGAAGCCCTCCCGTTGATGATCCCCGCCATGTACCAAATCGCTCACTCCCGTCAACCCGTCGTCTTTCACGTCGCCACGCAAGCCGCCACCGACAAGTACTCGGTCGTCAGCGATTATTCCGACATCATGGCAGCGTCCTACACCGGCTTCGGTTTGCTCGGGTCCGCAACTGTGCAAGAAGCGCACGACCTTGCTTTGGTCGCGCACGTTGCCGCTGCGGCTGCCCAGACTCCGCTTGTCCACTTCTTCGACGGCGCACGCATTGCCCGCGAGACTACCAATGCACACGTCATCAACTACTCTGACCTCAAGAACATTGCACATTCCGGGCACATTCACGGAGACTTGCCTACGGTGGTCGAGAAGGTCATGCGCGACTTGAGCGGTGCCTTGGGCCACGAATACAAGATCTTCGAGTACGTTGGTGCCCACGATGCCGAGTCAGTCGTTGTCGCCATGGGTCCTGCGACAACCTTGGTTGAGGAAACCGTCAAGCGCCTTCACGCTCACGGAAAGAGAGTCGGTCTTCTGAAGGTTCGCTTGTATCGCCCCTGGTCCGCACACCACTTTTTGGCGGCGATCCCCAAGACCGTCAGGCGTATTGCTGTTATCGACCAGTCATCCACCGGTGGTAGCGGCCACGGCCCTCTGTACCTGGACGTCACTGCCTGCTTCTACAGCGGTCACTGGCACGGAGCTGCACCCGTCATCGTCAACGGACGCTTTGCGGAAGGTGCTGGCAACTTCCACCCCGCAGCAATCGAAGAATTGTTCCACAACCTGTCCTCTTCCCGTCCCATCTTCGACTTCGCCATCAAGGTCAAGTGCGAAACCGCCGCTGCAAGCGACGTGGAGTACGTTCCGCACGGCGTGCACCAAGCCATCTTCTGGGATCTTCAGGGGACTGGTACGGGCGCCGTTGGCCAAGCTGTCACTCAATACCTTGACAAGCACGGACACGGTCACGTCCAAACCTTCATTGCCCACGACGACGCTCAGGTTGAACCTGCCAGCGCTACTCACATCAGGTTCGGCGCTGTCTCCTCATCCTCGCCCCACCTTATTCGCTCTGCCGACTATGGAGCTGTCCACGACATCTCGCTCCTCCACAAGTACAACGTTGCGTTGTCTCTCAAGCACGGTGCGACCCTCCTCATCAATACCTCGCTCACTGGTCACGATTTCGAGAAGGAGGTCCCAACGGCAGTCAGGGCTCAAATCATTGCTCGCCACTTGAAGGTCTTCACTGTTGACGCCAACAAAATCGCCAAAGACTACACCTTGTTCAAGGGCAAGACTTCTGAATACGTCAACTTCATCCTTAAAGCCTTGTTCTTCAAGCTTGCTGCTGGACTTGATTTCCCCAAGGCGATTCAACGTCTGGGAGAATTCATCTCCACCAGCGAGAAAGACCACTCTATCATCCGCACCAAGCTCGGCGCAGTGCACCGCGCCCTCAAGAGCTACGCTGAAGTGCACACCAGGCACTGGAGCGTTTCCCACTGCGCTGACGAACCCCGGATTCCCGCTGTCCTCGAACCGTCCTTGCCCTTCCCCAAGGTTCCTCTTTCCGAGGAGGAGGACGACGAGCCCAAGGCACGCCACGTTAAATGGCACCATGCTGCTTGGCCGGTCATCTTCCCCGAGGCGTACAAGCTTGAGAAGAAGCTTCGCCCGGATGTCGAGGGAGCGTACGTGATTAAGGTCACCGAAAACCGGCGCCTCACTCCCAAGGAATACGAGCGCAACGTGTTCCACATGGAGATGGATCTCGGCGACACCGGTCTCAAATACGACATTGGTGAAGCGCTTGGTGTTCACGGACACAACGAACCTGAGCATGTACAACGCTTCCTCAAATTGTACGGTCTCAACCCGTACGACGTTGTGTACATTGACCGCAAAGCTGCCGATGGCTCCACCGTCTCGGAAGTCCGCACCATCGCCCAAATGTTTACCCAAATTGTCGATCTCTTTGGCAAGCCCGGTCGCAAATTCTACCAAGCCCTTGTCGACCACGTCAAAGACCCGAGGGAGCGCGTCATCCTCGCCGACCTCCTCGCCAACGCTGAAGAGCTTCAGGCGCTCAGCGACAACGAAACCCCAACATACGCCGATTTGCTTGAGCGCTTCCCTTCGGCGCGTCCCACCGTCGAGGAACTCATTGAATTGATCCCACCCATCAAACCGCGCCACTACTCCATCGCCTCCTCTCAAAACGTCCACCCCGACAGCGTCCACCTTCTTGTCGTCCTTGTCGACTGGAAGACCAAGCACGGCCACGTCAGATATGGTCAGTGCACGCGGTACCTCGTCAACGCAGACATCGGCCAGTCGCTCTGCGTGTCCATCAAACCCTCGGTGATGAAACTTCCCAAGTCTCTGAAAGCACCGGTGATCATGTCTGGATTGGGAACGGGTATGGCACCCTTCCGTGCGTTCATCGAAGAGCGTGCGTACTGGAGGGCTCAAGGCAAGGAAGTTGGGCCGATGATGTTGTACTTCGGATCCCGCAACCGGGCCAACGAGTACCTGTACGGTGAAGAATTGGAAGCGTACCATGCCGACGGTCTCCTCACGTTCCTCCGCCTCGCCTTCTCGCGTGACCAACCCGAGAAGGTGTACATTCAACACAAGATTCAAGAGGATGCCAAACACATTGGAGAGTACATGCTTCAACATCAGGGAGCATTCTACCTTTGCGGACCTACGTGGCCCGTACCCGATGTGAGGGACGCGCTCATCACGGCGTTCGAGCACAAGCTGGATAGGGCGGAAGCGGCGGCCTTCCTGGAGGAATTGAAGGAGGAGGAGCGGTACATTCTTGAGGTGAGAATTAAACCGAGTGTTGCATGCAATTGGGACTTTCAATCTTTTGTGTCGTTCCAAGTTTCTAATTGAATTTTCCCTTCATTTTTTTAGGTGTATTAAACGGGATCGAAATGAGTGGATATGTTAGATTAGATAGGAATCGGCATCATTGTATTATGTGAATAGGATGCTCATTCTTTTATCTGTAATGATTTGGCTGTCATTCGCGGTGTGTGTCCTGGCGGCCCGTTCGCCCATGTTCATACAGGAGTGGCGGTAATAACTCAAAATGCCAAACCGCTGACACATGTTTCCGGTCACCCGTCTGGAGTTTTTTTTGAAATACAGATTCCGTTGCCACCATGGTGGACAGGTCTTTCCACCACCCCTGCATAGCACTAAATTCCGCGTCCCTGGATACCACATACAGTACGCTCCCTGTCCATCCAATAATGAAAGTAAAATAGAGTAGCTGCCCGAAACTAAAAAGAAATGTGAGGCAGAGAGACAAAGACCTGCTGGGTCTTTCAAGTAAACAAACGGAGAATCACCAACCAAAAAAAAAAACCTCCCCCGCCCATAACCAAAAGTAATCCGAAGATCAGTGAGACCCTCGGGGACAGGTGTCCCGCAATCTATTAGCACTTCCAGGTTTCGATCCTGGGGCCTTTGGGTGTCACCAAACCATGAAAAACGGACCTGTATGAGCCCAACGCGCTTCCTCTGCGCTAAAGTGCTGCCTTGAAAGGGTACAATTGTCCGCGGAACATCATAGTTGTTGCCCGAAGGACCACGTCACAAGAAAGAAATGCAGTCCAGTGGGGCCAGTTTTCCCTGTTTCTGTGACATCCAAAGGCCCCGGAATCGAAACCTGGTCGAACTCGTGAACGAATCCGACCAACCCCGGGCAAACCCCATGTTCCAAAACATCGTCCACATGTCCGCGCGACAGGCGGGACTCAGGGCGGCGGCACCCACCCCGTCCCACCCACCGCCAAACATTCTCCGACTCCCCGCGCCCGCAGTTTAAAAACCTGCGTAGTAACCCCAACATGCCACCAGACAACTTACCGGTGCAACGTTGAAGAATGCGGACTGTTGTCTAGTAAACCGTTCCGGATATTTGAACACATACACCGCCTCGTATCCAATCTTGCTTTGTGCTTTGTCCAAACGGGCAAGTTGAATCTCGTCACTGTCCTTCAGCTTCTGCCTATTTCCACCGCCGACCAGCTTTCCATTGATGAATGTGCCATTCGTGCTAAATGAATGGGCGACTTAGCAATCCGCACACAAGTCAAACGTCAAACTGGATCTCTGGAAGTCCCGCAGCGCTGAAGTGACACCCCCGCCGAGGACCAAAGGCTACGCCCACCACATGTACCGACTCGCCGTCATACCTCATATCTTCAAGATACGCTGATTCCTCCTGTCTGCCAGTGTCCGGGTTCTCAGCGATTTGCTATTAATCGATGGTTAGCTGCAGTGATACATTTGGGAAAGACTTAGACGCACACACCTTGAAAATCAGGCAGTGACGGTTGGAAATACGTGCAGTTCTGAAGCGGACTGCGCATTCCTTGTGGCGTCCAAACAGGTAGCCACCATCAGTGCCCTTCTCTTTCAACAACGCTCCGGGAACAAGGTTGTCATCGTCCACGTCGTCGTCGTTCGAACTCGCTTGACGGTGTGGAGTTTCCACCAAGTCGGATAGTTGGCAAGGTGGGGATCTGCGAGTGCAGAATGGCCCAAACGCTCGGGTCGTCATCCTCGGCATCGTCGTCAGGCAGAGTTATATCCTCTTCAGGTGAGAACTCTTCTCCCTGAGACGTCCCTTGCCGGGCTGGGACTGGGACAACTCGGGGACCGACCAGTGGAGTGGGGCGGAAAGGTCGAGAGGCTGTGACATTAGTTGTTGCTTTTTACGCGATTCAAATGTCGTCTACGAAGGAAGGGAAGGTTTGGTTGTTTTGGTGGAAGCGGAAGGTTTGCGAGATGGACAAGTGGAAGAGACAATTTGGGGCGGCCAGGGAGGCCTCAGCGATTGGACGACTGCGGTTTGCACTACCCACCTCTTGTCCGAGGTGTCGGACGCAGGACACGCGTTGCTGAGTTCGCTGAAAGTTCAGGGGCCTTGGGCACTGCGGTGCAGCCGGCGGTTGTCCAGGGGCATATGTATATTGGTGGCCGCGTGTGTCGTAGTTGTCACATGCGAAACCCGAAATGGATTAGGATCGAAGTGATCCATCTCCTCGGTCTTTGGCCATGTGCCCTTCTCAGCGCTCAAGGAACCGACCGTCTGCACTTTTGACTTCTCGCCCGCCTTTCCTCTTGACGGTTTCGGCAGGCAAGCGACTTGCAAAGTGTGGTATTGACGTTTCCATCCTCCTTGGCAGTGGGCAAAGGAATGGGAATCACTATGAACCAGCTTACGGTAGTCCCGAAAAACATAAGGTCGATTGCTTAAGCAAACTGTCTCTTTCTGGCGGTTATACATGTCGACATCACATCAAAGCTTTGTCCGGACCTGGTAGCTGGAGAGAAAAATCATAACCCGTCGTGTGAATGGATGATTGGGAATATATGGACACTGACTGTCTTTCTGGCAGACCTCTAGAGCTACCCAAAGATTCTCCCGCAGTTCTAACTCACTCATAGGCCTTCTGCTTCTCCCTCTCATTCCAATGCAGCTTTGCGATTAGCGACCGGAACCAATCGTCCGTCTGGTTTTTCCGACATATGGATAGAAATGGATATCGTGAGGCGGTAACGCACACCGCATCGTTCGGTTTCAACTCTGTTCGATTTCGACCATCCAGAGATAGCTGAAAGAAGCTGTGAGTTACAGTAATCAGAAGATATCAACGCGAAAAATCTTACCCATGCGGTGGCGCGGCTATGCTCAGCGACTAATATTTTTACCTCCATTGTCGCGGGAAGTAGCATCGGGCGAGTGGTGAGCGTGTGGGAGCAAATGGGTGTCACGAGAATGGATGTTTTGTCCGGATGCACTGCGATATGTAGCCGCGCGTGAGATTGAATGAGCCTTACAATGGGAAATCAGAGACCTACCAAGGGAACCTCCTGCGCTAAGCTGCGGTCACAAATGTCCGCATTAGTCACAACGCTCGCCATACTGCAAGTACCCAACATTCTTACCGAATACGCAGTGCTGCCCGTTGATGTCGCGAGGACCAATCCATCCGCCTGTATCGTGGTTACGTACATCCCGTCTGCATACCTGGACGAAAGATTGCGCGTCAATACAGGCCTCTCTCATCGTACAATCACTTCCGTTGGAAGACACTCACAGCTCAAGCATAACCAACCCCGGATTTGCACCCTGCATTGAAATGTTGGGATTGGTTCATCGTACGTTGGTGACGACGCTACGTACTCACCCGGTACAATACTAATTCGTTCAACGCTTCAGAGGTGAAGCTCACTTCCCCCAGGGGACATGCATCGCGAGGCGGTTCGTCATCAACAAGCACACCCGCTCGTTCGCACTTTGCGGACCGACTCCGTCGTTTCTGTTTTTTCTGCTCCGAAGCGGGGTGCACACTGCAGTGCAGACGCATACGAAGATTTACTCTCATCCCTTGCCCTTTCAGAATCTTTCCAAGAACGTCTCTCATTTCATCATAGTGAAAATTTGCGAGAAAACCGAGGGAGCCAAGATTGAAAGCCAGGACGGGCGGAACGGATTTCTGCGCGGAGCATGCAGAGTTGGAGAACGTCACTGGAATGATTCCTTTGCAGTCTTATCGCGATACCTGGAATATCTTCGCGGCGTACAGAACCGTCCCGTCTCCGCCCAAAGTTATCGCTAAACCAATATTCTCCCCTTCCTCTTCCACAAATTCCTCTGTCCAAATCTTCAAATGAGAAGCGTATTTGTGACCCCGCTTCTTCAGTTCATCAAAACCGAACGTGGACTGATCCTGAAGGTGAGAATCCACATATATATTTATGTCGTAATCGTTCAAGATAAACTCCACTATTTCGCGAACTTTCGGGGGGATGGATGAATCTTTGGGCTATTACCAGTGAACGCAAAGTAAGGCAAGACCGATTGATCCGAATGGCAGAACCCTCAGGAACAGTGGATAGCAACCTTTGATACAATAACTATCGACTGGATATTTGGTAACTCCAATTCCATTCTGTGCATCAGCTTCTGTACATCCATCAATCTGTCCAATGCTACGGTTAATTTCCACCCGGTGACAGATGTTGGGGGCAAGCGTCTTACCTTACGGCGCCCTGGGCTACGGTAGCAACATTTCTCGCGATAATGCCGTTTTTATCCTGTCCAGCATCTGTGAATCAAACCTCATCGTTATGGCACAATGAGAAGCACTCTGATGCCTTACAATTTCAAGCCCAACACCGCGAAGGAATGCTCGCCGTCCATTTTCACTCTTCCCTATCGCCTCTTTGAATATGGAGATGATATTCTCTTCATCTGTTGGGCTTGCATCAATGACCGGTGTTTTGCTTCATCATAAGACGGCATTTCTAGATTCAACAACTGACCGCTCAACTCCACCCAATCTCCTGTCCCATCGTTGAATTCAAGACCAAAATCTGTAAAGTCGGCATTGCCATATACGTTCCGAAAAGCCTTGGATCGCAAAAACAATTGAGCAGTGCGACCTTGAGAGGTGCGCCAGAGGATCCAAGGCTCACATTCGTTATCCCTACGTAGGACAGCTCGTCTTCGTGACAGAAAAGTGCGTCCAATGAATATCAAAACCAACGCAGAACACATGAAGAGGTTTGGTTACAACATGTTAAATTCTGAAAATCATAGATATGCACCTTTCTCCAGGAACGCATATTTCACTTTGCCACGAAAATTGAACTTCAGTTCGATTGGCGGTGTTTTTTGAGCTTTGGACATTTGGTGGAGGCAGTGATGATTCGAGAAAGAACGTTTGAAGATTGTACGTGCGCGCCAATGGAAACCAGCGCCAATACAACTGAGAGAGTCCTTTGCCACAGTCGCAAACGGGAGACGGGGATGCCTTTTACAAGTGGTAAAGCAGCTGAAAACGCGGCACGATGTGGGGTTTGCGTGTCGCAAAAGGCGGAAGGCGGTGAGCATGCAGACGGCAACGGAGCGAGACCGAGCGTGAAAGTTGCGTGTTCGGTTTTGCGGATACCGTGGTCGGACCAAAGCCCAAGCACCAGATCTTTCTGCGCAACGCATCGCCAATTCCCTACATTCCCTTTCCACCGCTCGTGGGTGCCAGCCCGTGGGAATTGAACATGGCATCGGCAACAGCCGTCAAGGTCCGTGGTAACTCATTACGTTTTTCTGTCCTTGTAGCACTTGTGCTCACTCACCAGAATGTTTCTGAAACAGGTTGCCAACCTTTCATCACTGGTGACCGAGGAAATTCTTAAGGAACTGTTCAGCATTCTCGGACCGGTGACGGACCTTCAACTGTATCCTAGGTAAATATGGACAAACTCGTCCTTGCGGTCCAACGCTGTCGCTAATGAGCTTCGGTCGTAGTCCGCACGGTGATGGCCAAGAATCTGTTATCGAATTCGGCGACGCCATGGCGGCCATCACAGCTCTCCACCTCACAGGCACTGAGCTGGGTGATCGCACCCTGTTCGTCACCAACGTCGCCAATCCTGCAATAATGAGGCCAAAAAGTCCGGCTACTGTCGCCGGTATCTCGAGTCGAAACCCAAACATAAACCCTACAATCCTACACTTTGAT